ACTACTGCATCAATATTTTTTGAACTTCTAACAGTTGTGACTTTTCAGAAACGTCTCATAAAAGTTTTAACTTGTGACAATTCACAACATTTCCTTATTTTCACAACACCTATGAGTTTTCATAACAGGTTTGTTACATTTTACAACACCAATTATGAGATCACAAATGTTATCAAAATTAATATCAAAAATGGTATAAGTTTTTACAACATTTTTAAAATGGACGACTTGCTTAGCTTTGTCATAGCAGCAGAGTCAAGATGTGTCACTCCCACGACTAACAGTTGGTGTAATGCAGCGTCAGAGTGTTTGAATAATTGTGAGCAAATTGTGCAATCAGTACTTTGACAGGCCACATTTTGGATGAGAAACCAGTTTAACAGGTCCGTGTGCGTGCTCGTCAGCCACCGGCCCGGGCGCGGTGCAAAGCAGCACCGTCTTTTAGCAGGCCCGGCGGCCTGAGTGAGTGTTGCCCGCGGCTTGGCTCTCATTACCCGAAAAGATGAAGGTTATACCCTTCTGTGACCGTGGTGGCGACCGTTGGATTCCACCCCGCTTTGTTGCTAGGTGCGTAGGTGAGAGTGAAACGGGCACTTTGCTGTCGTTGCCCACGTACAACCACAAGATTTCCCGTATCGTTCAAAATTTCAAAAAAAAACAAAAAAGAACAAAAAAACAACACCCCTTCGAGAGGGTGGGGGTAAGTGGGGGACGTAGGGGGTGGTTTGTCGGAGGGGGTGGAACGGGACAAAAACCTTCAAATTGGTTCCTAAGACACGCGTACACCAAATTTTAGCCACTTCCGGCACCCCCTTCTACCCTCACCTTTCACTTTTTTTCGGCTTTCCCACCCCCGTGATCATTAAGGGATGCGTACGGCGTCAGGGGTGTCGCACGACATTCGCGCTCGAGGATGTTAAACTAAACACATGGATGCCTGTCTACAGGGTGGGTGATCCGCGCCGTGATTTTTTTCTGCTTATACTGTACCGGATTCATGCGTGCGGACGGGTTGCATACTCGCACGGGGCCGTAAGGGGCCATGGCGAGCGACGATAGGCAAGCCCGCCCGCACGCATGAATCCGGTACAGTATAAGCAGAAACAAGCAGGCCCGCCCTTCCGCCAAACGGAGTTGCCAGCTCCGCTTCGCTCCACCGGCAACTCCGTTCGGCAGGGGCCGGACCTGCTTGGCCTGCCGGCGGCGATGGTCGGGCCTTCGGCCCGACCATTTCAGTCTCGAGATTTGCTGAAGTGCATAATCAAATAAATAATGTGACCGGTAAATCACTTGGCATATTTGAGTAAACTAAAGCGTCCGGCGAGGGGCCTGCGGCCCTAGAAATTTTCC